GGGGATGGAGCCGGGCGGGCGCTGGCGGAGCTCCAGCCTGGGAGGCAAAATCCCGCCTGGGGGCCCCTGGGCTGGCCTCGGCGTGGGGGGGGGTCGGGGCGCGTTGTGGAAAATGCCGGGTTTGCTGCAATGCCCCGTTTGGGAAGGCGTTTTTAAATGCAAAACCTGGTTCCGTGGCAGGAGCCGGTTTGTGCCAAAACCATGGCCAGCCCTGTGCTCCCCATCCCACAGGGATGCAGCTGGTGCCAGGGTGGAGTGGGCAGGATGGCTGCTCTCAGGACCACCACGGGTCCTGGGGTGGGACAGGAGCAAACCAGAAAGGGCACGGGAGCTCTGTGGAGGGCGAGGAGAGGGGCTTCTACCTGGTGCCTGGGCTGGGGCGGGTTGGTGGTGACCCTGATGTGGGTACGGAGCGGCGGCCCAGGGTGGCCGGGTGCCAGGAGGCAGCAGGGGCAGGGTGGGGCGATCCCGGCATCGCTGCCTTCCCCAGCAAGCAGCTTTTCTACGATTGCAGCTGAAATCTAAACAAACCATAAAGCCCAGGCGCTGGCACTGTGTGGCTGGGCCCTGCGGCAGGTGTGGGCGCACGGAGGTGCCAGAGGACAGGGTAAGCATTTTGTCCCCATTTCATCCCCCACAGCCCCCTGGGTCCCTTGCGGGCACCTCCTGCCTGGCCCCCACCCTGCTGCTCCTGGCACTCCCCATCCTTCCCCGGTGCTCTGCCCAGCTCTTTCCTTCCGGGCAGGAGCTGGCAGGTGCCTTATTTTTTCTCTCAGCATTTCCTGCTCAGAGTCAGGGCAGGTCGGGTGGCCCTGCACCCCAACGACACCGACAGCCCCTCTCTGTGCCCAGGCGCCCGCCAGAGCTGCCGTGATGGAGCTGGGCAACATCTCGCAGCCTGTGTACGGCCCTGGCCTCGAGGCACCGGGGAGCAGCACGCCGGGCCTGGTGGGGATGGTGCATGGCTTCCTGCGGCTGGTGCAGCCCAATGGCCTGCCCATAGGTGGGTACACGGCACTGGGGAACTGGCCATGGGGTGGTGGGGCTGCTCAGAGCTGTGGGGTCTTGGGTGGGCCCGAGCCCTCCTGCCCTGGTGACTGTCCGCCCAGCACTTAAATGCCAGGGTGCTGGGTTAGGAGGGGTCTAGAGGGAGGATGGAGTAGGGTGCTTGAGGATTCCAGCTGTGTGCTGCCCATATCCCATCACAGCTGTGGGGCAGTCCCAGGTGGGTCTCGGGACAGGCTTTGGTGGTGGTGCTACCTTGCAGCGGTCCCGCCCCATCCCCCTGCTGAGCGTCATCATCCCAGGCTGCAAAGGAAGGTGCAGATCAAACCCCATGCTGCCTGCGAGTTCGCGGGGTCCTTTCCTGGCTTGCAGCCCTCTGTGCTTGCAGGTGACAAGGTGTGCTTAGGCAGGACCTGGCTCAGGGCCACCAAGGGCAGGCAGCGTGTCCCAGTGCCAGTGCAGCGGTCCCGCCCCATCCCCCTGCTGAGCGTCATCATCCCAGGCTGCAAAGGAAGGTGCAGATCAAACCCCATGCTGCCTGCGAGTTCGCGGGGTCCTTTCCTGGCTTGCAGCCCTCTGTGCTTGCAGGTGACAAGGTGTGCTTAGGCAGGACCTGGCTCAGGGCCACCAAGGGCAGGCAGCGTGTCCCAGTGCCAGCGCCCGCGTGGCTGTGCTGCAGCCCCCCCCCGCATCCCCCCCTGCCTGCCAGCACTCGCCCTCCCTCCTTTGCCTCCGAGGGGATGTGTTGCTGGCACAGCTCTGTCCCGAAGCAGCTGCAGGTTGGCATGGGCTGCTCCGTGGCCCCGGGGCGAGCGCTGCCCTCTTAGGGAAGGGGTTTGCCACTCTGGCTACCGGTACTTGGGCTTCCTCCTTTGCCGGTCTCAACCTCTGCTCGACAGAAACTTGCAGGCAAACAATGGTGATGGCTTTGTGGCCTTGTTTGTGTTGTACAGATACAGGGGTACAATCACACAGCACTGGAATGGGGCATGGGCAGGGCAAGCCCTGGGGGTGGAAGAGGTGGTGTGGCAGGGGGACTTTGCCCCAGCACCCATCCTGCTCTGGCAGTGCTAGTTGGGTGTCTGCCTGGGGCTGGGCAGCCGAGGTGGTTGTCGGAGCATCCTCCTGGGGGGAGGACCCTGTTGCTCCATGGACCCCTGAGAGCCTGGGGAATGGCAGCACTTTTCCCGGGTGCAGAAGGGCTGTGCGACACGATGGTCGGGGAGGGACAGCTGGAAGGGAGAAACGTGCCCAGCACTCACAGCTGCTCTGAGCTGCAGCGCTGGAGGTGATGCCTCGTGCTGGGAGCCCCTCTCCCGGGTGAGCCCCTCCTGGAGAGCCCCCCCAGGGTCCAGCTCACAGACCGCTCTGCTCCTTGTCTCCCAGAACTGATCGCAGATTTTGGGCAAAGTGAGGACACCAGCGGGGACCAAGTCCAGGAGGTGAGCGGGCGGCCCCAGACCATGGTGGGCCGGGGAATGCCAGCAGGTGCTGCTCCAAGGCTGAGCCCCAGGTGCTGGGCAAGCAAGGGGCGATGTACTCCACAGGGGGTCTGGACAGGACCCTCGTTGCTGGGGGGCCTTCGGGGATGCCAGCACTGTGCTGCCTCTTGTTCTTCCTCTCCCAGCTCCTGCTCTATGAACGGGGTTTCCTGGTCTGCATGGCCATCGGGCTCCTCTTCATCATCTTCGTGCCCCTGGTGGGATGCTGCTTCTGCTGCTGCCGCTGCTGCGGGAACTGCGGGGGCCGCATGTACCAGAAGCAGGGCCGGCAGATGGGCTGCCGACGCCGCGCGCTCTGGGCCTCCGTCCTGCTGGTCTCTGCTCTCCTCCTGTGAGTGTGCTGGCTGGGAGGCTCCGGATGGGACCCGAGGGCGGGTGGAAATGCCGGCGCTTGGCGGCCGTGCCAGGAAGCTGCCATTGTTCGCAGGAGCGGTGGGCACCCCAGCCACTGGGCTCCCCTGTGCCTCAGTTTCCCGTGTCCCTCCTCTCTGGTTCCTTGGCTGTATGCAGGGAGCTTGCTGGGATGCTCTGGGAGGGGGGCTCAGTGGCACGCTCCAGACCCCACAGCCTGGGGTTGGTGTGGGTGGATTCGGAGCGTCCTGGGGGGGAGCATTGGGACCAAGCTCCCCGTGCGCTGATCCTGCCACCCTTCCCTTGCAGGGCTGGTGACGCCTGTGCCTTCCTCAGCAACACCCGCTTCTCCCAGGCCGTGCACGGCACCTTCCCCAACATCAACACCACCGTGGACAACGTCCACACCTACCTGGCCTCCATCCCCCAGGCACGCCTCGTCCCACCGTCCTGGCTGGCGAGCCTGATGGGGGGCAAAGAGCCCCCCTGGGCAAGGCTGACAGTGGGGCTGGAGGTGGGGAAGGGTCCCCACCTGCACTGACACCCCGTCTCTGTCCCTGCAGCAAATAAATTTTATCATCAACAGCAGCGACGTCCCGCTGGACCACACCAACCGCAGCCTCCAGGGTGAGGGTCTGCGGCGGGGGTGGGGCTGAGGCATCCTGGGGTGCTTGGGGAGTGGAGGTGGCTGGGGGTGCTGCAGATGGTTGCTGACCCTGGGGGCCACTGGGCTGGTTCTCATGGGGTGTCTAAAGGGAGCGGGTTTGGGGGCTCCTCTCTGGGAGGGCGATGCAGGTGTTGGCAGGGTGGGGGGTCCCCTCTGCCCCCCTTGCCTGGAGGGTGGGTGTGGAATGGGGTCCTGGGGGGGGTCAGTGGTTTTGGCACCTCCCCTGCAAGCACTGGGCTGCTCAGGGCAGCCTGGTCCTGCTGCTGGGGCTCCCGTCATTGACACTGTCTCTCCCATCTCCACAGATATCGGGCCCAAACTGGGCGGTATGATCGTCTCGGGCATCAGGAGCAGCACGGATGGGGCTCTGGGATCCCTCCAGAGCCTCTTGCAAGGTAGTGGCCCCATCCCCAGGGGGCTGGCAGGGCCTTGGAGGGGATTCAGGGGGACGCTGGGACAGGTGCATGCCTGGGGGTGCTCCAGCAGGTTTGGGTAAGGTCCCCAGGGAGAGGGGCCCCCCTGGCCACTCCAGCACCAGCCTGGGGCAAATGCTGGGACTTTGTGGGGAGTGGTCCCGCATTGCACTTTTGGATGGGTCCAGCTGGGTGAGGACAAGCCCCTGCCACGC